TTTGGACTCTGGAATTCACAGCAGTAGCTCCCCAGACTCTCAGGCCATGGGCCTCAGATGAAGGCTAACATCATTGGCTGCCTCGGTGCTGAGGGCTTCTGACTTCGACTGAACTGTACGATCAGATTTCCTGGTATTGCAGCTTGCACGAAGGCTGTCATAGATTTCTCAGAATCCATAATCAAGGACTCATTTACCCTGACAAATCACTTTGCTTATCACTCTGGAATCTTGGGTCTTCTGTCCATGCCTGTGAAATAGTAGGCAGTAAGAAGCAAACTTAACCTGGAAGTAGGATAAAATCTAATCACAAACTCAACACTATAATCCACTTATGTTTCTATAAGATATGAGGAATTTCCCTGCCCTTTCTTTCACTTCCTTCAACTCAAATCCAGCCTCCAGGCACACATCCTGCCTCAGTCGGCTAAGATCTTATTGCTATATTATCAAGGTTTTAAACATTTATTTCCCTTTGTAACACTTTAATTAAACTTTCTGTGCTTAGTCCTAAATTGACTGTGTAATCCAAAATTCAATCAACAGATTACATTATTAATAGCCGTTATACATTAATGCTCCAAATGTTATGTCTTTCTTTATGGTTTGTTGTCCCACTCGAGACACCATAAAAAGATAGTTTATTGCCGCAAGAGTCCTTCCAGTGTGACAAGTTCTGGCCTTACTCTCATATCTTCCTCTCTTCTTCCATTTTCTGTTTCTCTCTCACTCTCTCTCTCTCTCTCTCTCTCCCTCCCTATAAGCTCTTTCCACTACTACTACTACTTTTAGTTGACTATTACCATTATTCACCTCCTAAATGATTTTCACCTTCAGTTTTTGCCCCATGTTCTTGTAATTTTCTTAATTTATGCTCTATAATTTTAACTGAATTGTATGCTTATGTTGCACCTGTAGCCAGTCTTTCTTTTTCAAATTGTAACTGTTTTGATTACTTCAATTTTCCAAATTATTCCTTTAGCTCCCAAAGTAGCTCCGTTTTATGATTTAAGTCTTTCTCTTTCCTGACTTTTTCCTAATACATCTGTGATTTAGTGTGTGCTAAGGTAAGCTACCAATATTCCTTCTTCAAACTTGGAGGATGCATACCCAGCTGCTGGGATTATTGCCATTGGCCACTCTCAGACATCTCCTCAGTGATGTAATTGCTCCGGGTAGGGCTTCACCCAAGAGGGTCAGGGGTTTTTCTGAGGCAGTTCACCTCTAGTATCTGGTCATGCTGGAACCAACAAGAGCCGGCAACTCCTGCTCAAAGACCTTGGAAAGATCATGCTAGCATCAGAGTTACCTCCAGGGTCAGCTGAGTTCCTGTCACATCATAGTACCTCTGAACACTTTAAAGAGTCTAGTCACATTTCCTTACCCTTACTGATACCGTGACAGTTCTCTTAAATTTTCGGCAGGACATTCTATCTCAGTCAGCTTCATGAGAAATCCAAGTCTTAACAAGCACTTACTGTCCCCCAGTGTTTAAGAATTCAAAGTGAGAGATCGTACAAGTTCCTTTGGCTGCTACATAAAAGGCACATGTGTCCACAGTCCTTTACACGGAGAAGAAGCATTTCTGGAAAAGATGCATGAGATCTCACTGGAGGGATTCAACTTGGCAGAGAGCAAGCTAAGAGCTCTTCCTCGGCTGTATTTACCTTCTTCAGCTGTCAGAACTAGAACTTGAACTTTGTCTATCGGCACATCTGCTTTTCATTCACAAGGGAATTAATGAATCCAAGTAAGATAGGTAGAGAGGGACATTCCACAAGCCTCATTTGCTTGGAACTTGAGCATTTCAAACATGTTCTCTTATAAATTTTGGTCCTCATTTATACAGTGTCTCACACCACAGAAACTATTTGATATTTACATGTATGTCCTATTTATTTCACTTAAGAGCATGGCCTCAATGTGCATCCATTTATCTAGAAATGTCTCTAGTTTATCATTCTTTATGGATGAGTAGTACTCCATTTTATTAAAAAATAAAACCCACATCTTCTTTATCATCTCCAGTTGATAGGCATTTGGGCTCTTTCCAAGATTTAGCAAGATTTATAAACTGTGCTGCTGTAAACATGGGTGCCTATATATCAATGTGGTATGATAGGAAGAAAGGGAAGAGGGGATAGAGGAAAGAAAAGAAGGGAAAGGGAAAATATAAGGAAAGGAAAAAATGGAAACAAAGTCTTTGTAAATGGGGAGGGGTGGAGGGGTTGAATGGAGGACAGGGGAATGGGGAAGAAACAAGAACCAAGATACATCATGTACAGGCAAATTTCCAATGATGAATGTTATCATACTGCATACCTAAATTATACCAATAAACTTAATGAATTGAAAAAAACTGCTATAGCCAGATTCCCTAATATGGCCCAATTAAGTTTATTTTAATAAATGCAAGTCATCTGAAATTTAATGAACATAACATGGAATATAATAAATTATTTTTAAAATAACTAAAATTGGGTCATCTTTACCATCTTTCTTGGAATAATTTTGTCATTTAAAAATTAAACTGTCTAATATTATTCCAACATCTTAAACAATAGTCTTCTGTGTTGGATCTGGGGTGGAAATACAAATTTTCTGCTCCAATATATTTTCTGACGATATTAAAGCTTCAGGTTTTAGTGTTAATAAACAGGACTTCTCTATAGCTAGAAACAGATAACATTTCAAAATTCCATCAAGGAGAAATAAGTGGATAGGTGTCAATAATGACCTCTAACTAAAACTGACCTCATGGGAACATCTTTACATGATCAGTGTGATCATTATTTTTCTAAAATAATTAAATAAGAAATGTTCAGTGCTTTCATTTTAAGGAGACTGTAAGACATAATCTTAAAACTGTAGGTCTGAATGAGATTTTCTGGTTATCTGTCTTCAGACCTCTCACCAGGACTTACCTGTGTGTTTTCGGTACATATCTATCACCTTAATTGTTCCAGTTTGTGGAATTTCTTTCATTATGTGATTGAGTCTGGAACCTACATTGGGTTTGGTGAGTGACATGACTGACCCCACTGTACCCAGTTTTTCATCTGTAAGATGGAGATAGTGAGACTTTTACCTAGCAGGGTTGATGTCAAAATTTTAAAATTTTACACATTACCGAGTGTTGAAATACCTGACATATAGCATACAACATGTGTTTACTGTAATAGTAACTGACTACTGTTATAGCATATGAAGAAAGCATATCTTTATTCTATAATTCCAGTTGTTCATTAAATCACCAAGACTTTTTCATTTTGAGATTGATACTCTGATATGAAAACTTTCCCAAAATCCTAGTAATTTTCACATATCTAGTCATCTTATTTTTACGCCAAATGCCATTCCTGTAGAGAATTCCACATGCCAAAATTTACATGAAACAATAGAGTGAAAGTAGTGGTTAATATGAAACTTCTTGTTCCAAAAGAGTTTCCAAGTAGTTGCTACTTTTGGTATAAAGACAGAAGAGCATGGGGACTAAAGGGGTAAAATTCCACCAAACTAATGAGAAAGGAGAGATGACTTCTGGGACTGGTCTTGAGGGGTATGTAAGATTTCCAGAGATAGAGATTAAAAGCAGACTATTCAGGTAGACTTTTTCAAAATACACATAAATTACAGAACACAGGTGCACTGAGGTGAAGTCATCTAGCGATCTAATCAGGCTTGAATTCTGAAATATTTAAATGGACCAGTCTCAGTCATATCACCTAGTTCCTATTATTTTAATATGATTGATGCTAAGTATAATACCAGTTTGAGTATTACCTGTTATAGTTCTTAGCCAACTAAAACATCACACTTCTATAAATTAAATTAAAATAAATTAACAAAACTAGTAAATTCCATATCCGTGATATCAGTGTGCCATGTGATTAATACCACACACTTAAGTGAATCACTCCACATAAATAAACCATTAGAGAATAAATCCTTCCAGAACTACCCTGTACATATTTTACCAATGCCTTGTAAAAGCTCAGACCTGCCTTCCTTTATACCAAAACAGTTATAAAACCCTTTTTGATAACACACATGAAAATTGCATTTAGCCATCGTTGATATTACTACATTGCATTGGTATTAAGTCAATTTCTCTTTCTAATTTTCTCACACTATTTCAACTACTATCACTTGGTACCAATATAATTACAAACACAAACACAACTAAAGCATGAAAATAATGCAGCAGACGTCCCTACACACACACACACACACACACACACACACACACACACACACACACATCGATATACAAATACATACACACATATACGTGTAGAACCAGAGAGTGGAAAAAGAAGCTCTGGCAGTTGTTTGTCAGCTGGAAACTGACCTGAGTCTACATCTAGACAGTGGATTCTCATGTTGACCTTAAACAATCTCGCAGAACACAACACGACAAAAGGCGATGTGTAAGATTAATGGAGCAAAACAAAAACAAGAGCAATTCATAACCATATATAAACATACATAAAATAAGGCAAGAGTAGACACACTCAGATAAAACACAAAATCCTTCATTGTGTACCTGTCATAGCTCACATCAGTTTCTATTATTTTCTTCCCAAAGAGAGTGCCCCCCGCATAGAGCTGTATTCCTTGAGTACTTTTGCATCCCATATAAAGTTTATAAGAGACCAAACCACAGAATTGCTTCTCTTTCTGGAAGCACCCAATCCAAAATTTCATCAGATTCTCCCCTGACATCTTAATGCAGCCCTACCCATATCTTAGGCCTATCCAAATACCCATTTATCTCTTTCACCTTTTGTTTGGTCACTCTTATTGTAAAAACACAATATGCGGTTTGTTTTTTGGCTGTCTGAGTAGAGTGCATTAAATATGTAGATAGGTACATAATTGAATAAGTTACACATATATGTTTACATAAAAAAATAATTACACACATATATCTTATTGTTTTATATGAACATTTTGATTATTTCCAAACTCCAAATAATAAAGGATAAGAACACAAATACCTAGAGATGTTAATTTGACATCATGGCATGGTTGTGGGTATGGCATGGTTGTGGGTAAATATCTGCTCAAAAACTTTATTCTAGAATCAATAAGCAGTCAATTACTAAAGAAAAGAGAAAAAAAACAAGTGTTAGAAAAAAATGAATGTTTCATTTAAACTCTTCATGCACCTTTGTCTCCCCTAATACTTTCCTATAAGTATTTACATTTCAGTTTTAAGTAGTATTTTTCCATTTTTTGCAAAAGCCATTTCAACATTTAGGTTGTAGAATGCTTCCCAGACAAAAAATGTTTTTAATATTTTGGTCAAAAATATTTGTTAATATTATATGACCTGAGCGATATTTTTATATGATAGGAAGCAAACTACTACCTCCATATGAAAAAGAAATGTAGGCACAATCCTCTTTAATTTAATTATATTAAAATAAGTAGAGATTTTTGAAAGATGTTTGACTCAAGGAAATCATATTTTACCACTCTCTCTCCATTCACCTACTCGTAATAGGCAGTTACCAAATTCTGACCCATAATTGATGATGACCGTGAGGTCTTCTTTTTCAACACTTTTCATTCATTATCTATCATTTGGATTGTAAATTGAGTCAACTATTCTATGTATATTAATATTCTTAAACTATTAAATTCAAGTTTTAAAATCTTCTCTGTACAAGATCTAACTAAATTATAAGTCAGCAAAAAATAATGTTTTAGTTTTGGCAGTATACTAAGACAATTAGGATTGACAATTTGAAAACTATGCACTACTTGTAAAAACTGGTAGGATTTCCAAATGGCCTACTACATTGGTCAAAGGGTAGGTGTCAGAAAATGAGATAGAGGACACAAGTTGATCTCAGAAACATTATTTTAAAAATACATCAGGAAACCTCAAATATCTATGTATAGAAAAAACAAAAGACAAAAAAAGGTTCTATGTGCCAAAATTAGTGCTAAGACAAAAACCCAATATTCTTATTCCAAACAAGGAATGAGCTCATGATTATAAATATTCAGGTGTCAAAAAGTCAAAATTAAATTCAGGTAAGCTTTTGTATATCAAAGTTAGTACCAGTATGTAGCAATGGAGAAAAATAAAACTGATGACTCCAAGGGAGGAAAAACCTTAATCTAACAAGATCAGCATGACAGGAACAGTGCTCAGTCATACATTTTCTAAATGATTCTATTATAGTCACATTGATCTTTGAGTCAGTATTAGTTTAATAGTCTAATTTAGAGCTAAACCTATAAGTACATCAAAAGATGAATGTACTGGATACAAGGTCAACACGCAAAAATCAATAGCCTTCTTGTACACAAATAATAGACTCACTAAGGGAGAAATTGGGAAAACAATTCCTTTCATAATAGTATCCAAAAAACTGAAGTATCTAGGAGTCATTGTAATGAAAGAAACAAAAGACCTCTACACTGAAAACTACAGCACTCTGAAAAAAGAGATCAAAGAGGATATAAGAAAATGGAAAGATATCCCCTGCTCCTGGGTAGAATCAACATAGTGAAAATGGCCATACTACCAAAACTGCTATACAGATTCAATGCAATTCCAATTGACATTCCAATAGTATATTTCACAGAACTAGATAAAAGAATCCAAAAATTCATTTGGAACCATAAGAGACCTAGAATAGCAAAATCCACCCTAGGCAACAGAGACATGGCAGGGGTATAACAATTCCCAATTTGAAACTATACTACAAAGCCACTGTGATAAAAACAGCATGGTACTGGCAAAGAAACAGACCTGAGGATCAGTGGAATAGATTGGAAGATACAGAAACAACTCCAGATGTACTCAGCTACCTCATCTTTGACAAAGGAGCCAACCATCTTCACTGGAGGCAAATGATGTTGGAAAAGCTGGATTTCAACCTGCCACAGATTAAAACAAAACCCTTACCTTTCACTGTGCACTAACTAAAATCCAAGTGGATTAAAAATCTAAATATTAAAAAAGAAACACTAAATCTGCTGGAAGATAAGTTAGGCAGAACCCTTGAAGACCCTGTCATAAGAAAAGACTTTATGAATAAATCTTCAGTAGCACAGGAACTAGCATAAAGAATCAACAACTCGGATCAGATCTTACTAAAAAGCTTCTGAATTGCAAAAGAAACCACCAACAAAGCTAAGAAACAACCTACAATGTGGGAAAAAATTTTACCAGCTATTTCTCAGAAAAGGGATTCTTATCTAGAATATATAAAGAACTCAAAAAAAATCAGACACCTCAAATATAAAGACCTGATTCAAAAATGGGCAGCTGAAATGAACAGATATTTCTATGACAAACAAGTAAAAGCAGCAAATAAATAAATGAAAAAATGTTCAACATTAATGGTCATTCGAGAGATGCAGAAGAAAACAACACTGAGATTCCATCTCACCTCACAAAGAATGGCTGCTATCAAGAAATCAACCAATAACAAATGTTGGTGGGGTTGTGGGGAGAAAGGAACCCTTCTCCATTGTTGGTGGGAGTGCACACTGGTGCAACCACTATGGAAATCAATATGGAGATACCTCAAAGAACTAGGGTTAGAGGTTCCATTTGTCCCAGCCATCCCCCTGCTGGGTATCTTTCCCAAAGAATTAAAAGAATCATACCATAGTGATATATATACACTCACCCATGTTTATAGTGGCAAAGTTTGTAATAGCTAAAACTTGGAAACAGCCAATTACCCATCAGTTGGAGACTGGATAAAGAAGATGTGGTTTTCCTATAAAATGGAATACTACTCAGCCATAAAGAATGAGAAACTAGAGTTATTCATAGGAAAATGGATACATATTGAGGTCATACTCAAGTGAAATAAGCAAGTCACACATGTGTAAATACTGAATAGTTTCTCTGGTGTGAAAAACTATAACTGTAATTAAGATCCTAATGGTATAAATGACAATGTGTAACAGGAAGAAAGGGGCTAAAGGTGTAGGGGAAGTGGGAAGGGTAGGGGAAAGGAAATAAGGGAAAAGAAAAAAATTTGAAAAAATGGAAAACAATTTTTGTAACTAGGGAAGGGAGGAGGGGGTGACAGGAGGGAAGGGGTATGAGGAAAAAATGAGATCCCAGACCGGCCATGTTTTTAAAGGGACAAGATCCCAATAATGAATGTAACTGTGCTGTATACCTAAAAAGTATCAATAAACTCAATGAGGGGAAAAAAAAAAGAAACTGGGTGGGATGGCCATGGCTGGTTTCCCAGGGCCCAGCCTCTGAGGGTGCTGGCGCCTTCAGATTCTTGTCTCCTTCACACCTAGAATGGTGATGATCAGAATCAGTGGTTCCTAGGCCTTCACAGACTAATGTCGCTCGGTGGGTGATTCAAGGTCAGTGTGCTATGCATGTACCCTGGAACACCTGCACTGTCTTCCGCAGAAATCCTGTCCAGTTACCTAAAGGTGAAATCTTCATCTAAAAGTCAGTTGTTGCATCACAGATTCTCTGTTCTATGTCTCCTAATGGCAGTGACACAAATTTGGAAAAGACTAATTAGCTGAGGCATCAACATATATCTCAGAAGAATAAACTTACCACTTCATTTTCTCAGCCATATGGCTGAGCGATCACTCTAGGCAAGACCTCTCCAACAGCGAGGTCAGAATTCCATTTATAAATAGATAATTGGAAATTCATCCGAGCTTCTATGGTACTGAAGAACTAAATTTTTCAGAAAGAACTATTTAAAGACCAGAAGGATAAAAAAATATCTCCTTTCAGCATTTAAACAGGCTTGGGGATTCTGAAAAACTTAAGTAAAAATTACATGAAATTGTGTGTGTGTGTGTGTGTGTGTGTGTGTGTGTGTTTATTCTTTTGACTATGAAAACTAGTTGCAGTAAAACCAAATAAAATATGTCACACATAGATATTTTGTCACAAATTACTTTCTCAATAACTCACACAGCTTTTCAAATAATACTAATATGAGGACTTCTCTTCCCCCTCCTTATTTTTGGAAGTTCAAAAATTTACCTATTTCCTCAATTAGTACTAATTAGTGATTCTCAATCTTGGTTACACATGAATTTCACCTTCAAGATTTCATCAAAATATTGATTTTGTGTCCTATCTTAGAGATTTAATTTAGATTACATAGGGCGTAGCATCCTGGTACTGGTATTTTTCACAAGCTGCTAACAGAATTCTAATGCATAGTTTAGAATGAAAACCAGTCTAAATGACATGTGTGACAAAGACGTGCCCCTACACTAGATCTCCCTTTTAGAAAGTTTCTTGGTCCAGCCACAGAAGTTGAGATTAACAGACAGCCTTGGGCTGTCTACTCCTTCCGGACATGCCTCAGCTGCTAGCAGTCACCTTGACTGAGGTCCTTCCCTCTGAGACAGCCTGCGCCAATGTCTGATTGACATGAGAATATTAAGACCAAGCTTCCTCTAGTTGATTTCAAGTTTGTTAAATCAGTATCAAAATTTAGCTTTTTCTGTCCAATTTTTCTCCATTTCCCTTCTTTTCATGCATGATCTCTAACAATATTTGTATTACATCCTAACCATAGAACACGGATACTTACTAGGGCACAGATGTAAATATCAGACTGGAACAGGCAAGGTGCTGAGGTGATTATCCTGGGTCTGGCAGAATTCGTCTTCATACAGTAGACTGAGGAAAAGGCTCCAAGGTCCAAAGCTGGCTTGAGTCTTGATATCTACAGGGAAAAGTAATGGATAATACACCCACCCCGACACCTATCAGTACTATGTATTATAAAAAGTAGTTTTAGTGCCTGAAATACCAGATGCATGGTATCGACCAATTGACAACTATTTAAAATCCAGATAGAGATCTTCAGTGAATGTCTTAAAATTTTAGTTGGACTTCATGAGCTTTTGGGCCTAAGCCTTTTTGTGGCCATATTCTTGGTATATGACATGTGTTATGTACTGATATACTAAAAAGGTGTTATTCAACCTTCACAACAGCATACTGAAATCCCAATGAACCTCCTACATTTGCCTTATATATAATGTTTTTAGTTCTTTCACTGGTTGTCACAGTAGGCTTTAATTGACTTTGGAATATAAGACATATAAATTTGTGGCTTATTTTTCCTACCTGATTGTAGGTAAGTTAAAGTTTTAGAAAATTCATGGCACTTAAAATTTGGAGCCATTTTTGTCACCAAAGAATGTGTGGAAATTTCTGGATGTGTGTGTGAGTGCGTGTGTGTCTGTGTGTGTGTGTGTGTGTGTGTGTGTGTGTGTGTGTGTGGTCATAACTAGGGAATAAATAGCTATTGGCATCCGATGCCAAGGATCCTACTAAATACCCTGTGTGTTACACAGGAAAAATGCCACAAGTAAGAATTATCAGGTCAAAAATGCCAATAATACAGAGAGTCAGAAACTTTGAGTTACAGTAAGGAAGAAAATACAAATATACTTTTAAGATAAAAAATGTGTCTTAGCATAGTGATAACACTGATTCAGTTATTCATTCTTTTTCTTGGTCTTTCCTGGCCTGATGTATTGATTTCTATTTAGTTATAAAATGGATTTTTCATAGCAAATCAGGTTAGCCAACTCTGGCTGCATATATTTAAAAATAGGAAGACAAAAGCAGCCCTTAAACAAAAATAAGGAAAAGGCTCATTCAGATACCTTTTCTCCACGTCTGAATTTTAGCTATGCTGGGGCAAGACAACATATTTCTTTTATAATGCATCAACCTCTCTCACCATATAAGAAAACACATAGTCAAAAATATTTTTAATTAATAGAGAAAATTAACACAAATAAAAATGAATTACTTCTGAGAAAAGAGATCTAAAAATTTTAAATGCTATTATTTAAAACTTTTATTCTTTAAGCTTATTTAGGTTTTATTGTGGACCTGTTCGGAGGAGCAATAATGGACAAGAGCACAGAGCAGCACATCAGTACGTGTGAATCTAAAGAGTGCTTCTATTATGGACAATATTGGGATATTTTTAAAACTTGATGGAAAGAATGCTGTATCAAGGGGAAGTTTTTCTCACTCTCCATCCCCTGACCTTAAAATCTGAGAGAAGAGAGTTGTTAAATTCAGAGAAAAGTTCTAAGGCAGCAAAGTACAAAGTCAAGAACTTGTCCTCTGCGAATAAAAATGATTAGTTCCCCAGGATACATAAAGAGTCCGGAGATTTGTGAAGGGCTGACGTGCTACATTTTCTCATATGTGCAGAATACCTTCTAAATCATGGCTTTCATTGGATTTAAGTTATTTTCTTGATGTCTGCTAATAATGAAGACAACTAAACTTAAAAGGGAAGCAATGAAAACTACATGAGATCCTGCAATCCAACGAACACCACTACTATGTAGCTGTAATTCCTGCCTCTTTTTTATGCACAGATAAATATATCGATAACTATGAGAGCTACAGTAATAGGCTTAGAGATAAAGAGAGAATTTGAGATTTTTATTACAATGAATCAAAGATAAAAGTGCAAGAGCAGAGGAAAAAAGTTTAATGCCATATTAGACCATTTTCCATTTTCCCACAAGCTCATGTTATAGGTTTTTCCGTTTAATATCATACTTTAAGTATTTCCTTTGCAACTGAAATATTTAAATGGTTTCAAGATATTACTTTTATGTGTGCAGCATAGCCATTTGTCTATTGTTTCTAATAATAGATTATTTCATATTTTATTATCAAAACTCATAGTGAAATTTTATAAAGAAGTATTTGTGTGTGCAGTGATTATTTCCACAATAAAATTTTCTGAAAGCACAGTAAGTGATTTAATCCACATGAATTACTTCGTGTTTTATGAACTGCCAAACTGATTTTAAGAAACATAATCAATGCCCATTTATACTTCTGCAAGTAATGTGACAATAACATACCCTTCCCAACATTGAATATTAATAGACTTTTAAAAACATGCATGCTAACTTGATCAATATAAAGAATAAACTCAAGGATTTGGTAATGTTCGCGTGTGTTCTTGGAGCCCAGTCAGCATAGGAACGAAATGTACTTCATCCCCAAAATGGAAGAAGGGAAGAGAATGCCTTCTTCACAAACCTTCAGCTCCACCTCACTGGCTGTCTCTTTGCTTTCTGAAGTTTTTATTTTCTTTCCCTGAATGTAGAAATTGTACATCTGTGTGCTTCAAGGTAGGAAAAAGAAGAGACAGAAAAAAATCCATCACAGCAAAACTGTCCATGACATAAAAGTATAATCATCTAGTTTTATGAATTACTTACATTACCTGAGACACGAAAAATCGACAGAATGTCTTTACAACTTCCTAGGAGGTAATGTTGCTATTTTGTTAGGTGGAAAATACCTGTCGGAGCCATCATTTGTTTAACACAGTCTTTGGAAAGTTTACTTTTAATTTCCTATGCTATGAATTTAAACATTTTCTTATATTCACAAAATAGCTTGACGGAAATGTGAGATATGGAATATAAGCTTTTAATCATCGGTGCATTCAGTTACAAATATCACCACTAACAATAATGGTTTCAACAAGAAGCTTCCTTTTCTCTCATAGCAAGAATTCTGGATGTACACAGTTGGAGACACTTGCTCAGCTGCTGAATGATATGAAGCAGTGGTTGGCAAATTACATTTCTTTGACCAAATCTGGCTTGTCTTCTGTTTTGGTGAATAAAAGCTTTATTGGAACATAAATCATACCTATTCCACCAAATACTGTATATGAATGCTTTCAGTGTAATGTAGCACAATGGAATAGTTGTGACAAAAATAGCATCCCACAAAACCTAAGATATTACTCTCCTAAACCCATCAAAATTAATTAATTAATTAATTAATTAATTAAAGTTTATCACCTGCTAATTTCAAAGTATCAGATTTGGGTGATCTCCTGACCTTGAACTTTCTTCCAAGGTTGCACAATGTAGCTATGGCCTTCTCAAGGCATCAGGAGAAAAATGGGACTGGGCATAACGACACCTCACTGTAGCTGGCCAGTTATTGGTGAGAGTCAAAGACTTCCAGAGATTCTGTCGGTAATCTGCTTTTATCACATTAGCCAGAGTTGTGCCATTTGGTATCCCTAGCTATAGGAAAAGTCTCAAAAGTGGTATTTGTATTTCTAACTAGTACCAAATGAAAGGGTTGGATATTCTTTTTGCCTTAGTTCATAAATCATGTATATAACAAGCACTTAATAATTTAAATCAAAAATCTTATTAGATACATCATTTGACTTCAGCACACATTTTTTTCCTTCACTATATGATTATATGGACAACATTATTAGCAAACAAAGAGAAATACTGAAAATAGTAAAAGTGACACAATGGTCATCATTGTTTTTCTGGAAATTTTCTGAATTATTATTAATTCATGAAGATGTCTGCTTTCTTGTAAATACAGTTAAAATTCATGGACATTAGATATGAACAAATACAAGATGACTGAAACATGGAGGAAAAAAATGCAGGACCTAGGGATACGACCCACAACACACTAGTGAATTGCCTTAGTCTCCTTCTCATCTCTGATAACTGAAGCAAGGTGTTAGAGAAATAGGCCACCCAGAAACACCAGCAGTCACAAATAAAAAAAGAATACAAGGGAATCTTGCTCTCTTTCTTCAAAGAACCACGAAAAGGAAACTAAGCCTGACAGAAAACACAATAACTATTCCATTTCAATTAAATACTGTAGAAAAATGCTGTGGATGCCTACAGCCACCACCCGCTGAAAAGGCAAATGGAGAGCCTGCTCTTCCACTTCAACTCACTCCCAGGTACAAAGAGGGTTCATAACCCTTATGTCAGGGCAGTGTCAGAGAAGACCAAGCAATGAGCTGGAGTCATAACAAAACTTGTTAGCCTAGGTGCCCACTCCCGATGAAGAAGAAGAGATGCTCCTCCTTTTTTCATACTAAGGGAGACAGTGGGCCAAGTGGCTGACTTTCATCACCACCTGTAATGAGGTAGTGCAGTCTCCTCCCAGCAGGATCAGAAGCCATGCGGATAATAAAAAACAAGACACCCATGCTTCTCCCTACCAGTGTGATATAAGCAGACAGCTGGAGGAGACACGAAACGAGCACACCTTCCCAATAATAACTGCAGATGGAAGGTAAATTTAGACCTGGAGAACCGGGTTTCTCTGCTGAATAACAAGATATCATCCCCTTTCCTCCTGCTGGAGAAGCCTAGACAAAGTCTGTTGGAATAGTCAGGCACAATGCATAATCTCTTATGTCCAGCTTTCATCTAACAAAGCTTATACCAAACACCAAGATAGTCTCAATCTAAATTGAAAAAAAAAGTCAATGAGTACCAATATCAAGATGACAGAGATTATGAATTATCCAATGGGGGTTTCTTTTAAAAAGCTGTCATTAAGTGTATCTCAATTAATTACAAAGATGCTTGACACTAATGAGAATACAGGATATCCTAGGAAAGACAAAAAGATATAAAGAGCCAATCGGAAATTTTAGAACTCACAAGCACAATAATTGAATAAAATAATAAATAGATGGTTTCAATTAAAAAATGGAGAGGATATGGAAAATACTTAGTGAAATTGAAGGTTAAAAAAAATGGGATCCAAACTGTGTATGAGAGAAAAATATGTGGAAAAAAATGAAAATTGATAAAACTATGGGATATAACAAAAGACTTAATATATGTGTCATCAGATTCTAAGAAAAGAAAGGATGGCTTGAAA